CTCCTGGATTGAAAGGGCTGGCAGCGGTTTCTCCTACCAAAAGGAGATAAATATTTGTTACCATTAGCTAAGTGCCAGCAATACCCAAAACGAGAAATTAGGAGAGCTCCTGCTCTACACCGTTTAAAAAGCATCACTTTTTTGTTTTAATTACTGGTGGTACTTCCTCCATGATGCTCACCAGAAGCACGAACTAAAGAAGGACTCTGAACTGGAAACCGGAAGCCATCCTTCCTCACATGCTAACTGTGCAACAGGACTCACACTTGCCCTTGGCCTTTATGTAGTAACACAAGACATAAATAAGCTGATCCAAACAAAAACCAACAAACCCTTCACACATCTTTAGCTTCAGTTTTTCAGCCACTCTTGACGCATTGTTAGCCCAGGAAGTTGGAGTTTTGTGGCATAACCCAGGAATTAGCAGTAGCCCTGCTGTCTCTGACACAGGCCTGTCCCTCAGCCACATTACTCACTCCACGTCTTTCTCTGGAGCATTCCTTGCACAGCCCCGAATCTGTTTATACATCCCCATGCCAACAGCTTTGGTCTCCACTTTCCATTTCATCAGCTTCCTGTGGACAAGCAGGAACTTCTCCCACATCTTGGCCATCGTACTAGCCCATAATCCTAAGGCTAAGTACTCTTCAGAGTAGCTGGTGTACAACAACACACCTGTTACCATATAGAAAATTTCCCATACACACATACGCCTTCCATTGTGCATTTCTTTTCATAACATCTTTACCTAAGTCATCTCCCTCCCAAAGAGCACGTTGACTTAAACTGCCAGCAAGACTGGAGGTCAGTAATACTTAGTACTGAACATGCATCCCTTCAAGGAGCTTCTCCCTTTCACTTTTGGCTGGGTTACCAGCTTAAACCAGCTTCACCCTTTGGAAGTACTCATCTCCCCTCCCTATACGCAAATGTGGAAAAATCTAGAAAGTGTGGTGCTTCAGAAAAGTTGTCTCTTCTCTTTTACTAAGAGGAAAAAAAAAAAACACACACCACCACCAAGACCTCGTATTAATAACTTAATGGCCTACCTACTGGAATTGAAAAATTCCTGTTTCCAACATGCACTTTGTCTAGCAAATAGCATCAGCTCTGCCCCCTACTTGAAATGATTAGATCATAATTGCTAATATTTCAAGTAGTCTACTTTGCTTAATGTGCTCTCAACCCCTGCTTCGGTACTGTCATCAAAACCACAAAAAGCACCCCTTTTTGAGCATGAAGATGAATTTCTCACTCCATTTCTCACTCTCACAGCAAACTACAAGGTAGTTTCCTTAAGGCTGAAAGAACAATAGTTAATATAAGTGGAAGAAAAAGCTAGGTTTTTGTTTGTTTGTTTTTAAGTAAGCAGTAACTGAGATCTGTGGACAAACTGAAAGCAAGCTTTCTCACAAGGAAGTTGTGAAAAGCACAGAAGAGACCAGCGCAGAATTTGGAACATTCAGCAGCACATCTAGAACACAGGAGACATAAAATTAAAAAAAAAGTAACCATACAAAATTGTACTATGCAACAGCCATTACCATTCTTTTGTATGACCTGTAAATCAGACAACTTAAACCTGCCACAACTTGAGACCCACTAGTTCTTCAGATGCTGTCTTCGTGCCCTTGCACAAGACAATAGGGTAAGATCTCCAGTACAAACATCTCAGGCACTTATCAAATATCCATCATTAAAGCAATGCTCCTGAGAACTCAGGTATATTATTCTGGACATGTTAGACAACAGACTGTTCAAAGCAACCTTCTACAATTCATTAAAATAGGTGAAGGGCTAAAAGCAGAACCATTTACAAAGAATTATTCAAAGGAAAACTTAATTTATACACTATCAGCCTGAAAACAGGCAAGACCACTCCTAAAAATCTTCAACTGAAAAAAAGAAGGTAGTGACAACATCAAATGTCAGTAAGAAAATGAGAACAATGCTGCACAGAAAACAAAGGAAGCCAGCTACCGCAATCACAGGCTGCTGAGCTACTCCTCAGACATCTGCAACTGAAGTGCTGCAAAAGTTGGACTAATTTCTTAGTTATTAAGGCACTTAAGCTAAATCAGACATCAGTTCAATAGCAGCAGACTATTTTGGACCTTTTGTGGGACTATAAGAAGGAAAGCATTTGGCATGAAAATACATTATTTAACTTTAATGAGACTTATTTTTAATCTCTTTATATGCACAGCCCAAGCCTTGGGGCTCATCTCAGTGTGAGTGGTAAAGAGAAAGACTGCATGTTCACAAACAATTCCTTAAACTATTTAAATACAGAACAATTCTGTTAAAAAGTTAAAATGGACATAGACGTTCCCCTTCCAGCCTGTAAGAGAGGATTGCACTATAGACATGAATGAGAGTGAACAGATAAAATCAGCGTCAACATGTATACATATGCACCATTCTGTGAGCCTGTGCATTGCAGCAGAAACCCAGCAAGAAAAAAGCACCTGGCTGACTGTGAGCTGTCAGCATGAAAGATCGTTAGCTCTGTACGGAGTGGCAGCAGCACACTGTCAGGGCGGTAGTCAGAAGAAAGGGAGAGTGACTTTTCTTTAAACAAAACAGCAACACTCTTACCGCTCTCCAGAAGAGAAGGGGTCTGACTGACAAAATAAACGAAGGTGTTCCCCAAAGGCTGACACCTACACTTGTGTTCGCTCTCTCCAGGCCCTTACAAGAACAGGTGCCTGATGACACACAGGCCAGCAGAATACCTTACACACATCAGATGTGTTGCTTTAGTCAGCGACAGTAACTTTTATTGTCTTTACAATACAAGGTAATACAAGCTATTAAAAAGCAATTTTGTTTGGTAAAATATTTAGTGTATTGAAAATATAAATGCATCTTCAGATCAAACAAGATTACAAGCATACCAAATAATTTACAAAATTAAACATTTATCCTGATCAAAGAAGTATAAAAGCCAACAGTTCTAGAACCACGGTCCTGGCACCTAATGTTCTGTAAGCATTTCATTCTTTTGTGCATTAATCCTACTCTTTCCTCTAAGCATATGGAACAGAAAAGGTCAGTTACGTATTCAGTAAAGGCTTATAGGTGAAGGGAGAAGACTAAGACTAATGGCAATTCCTCTTGCAACCCCCCTTCTCCACTTACATTGGAATGTATACTATGTTAGAAAGACGTTTTAACTTCACTTTCCCACTATTGCCAGGACTGAACATAAACATTTTGTATTGTGTTTAAAAAACATAAGTTCTGATAACAGCCCAGTTTTACAATTTTGCGCTTTTATACACATGCAGTTTTTCTCTCCCAGCAAAATAAAATATAACTGCATTAGTTTCCTTTTATCATTTGAATTATTCCTTTATAAGCAGTTTCAGGTAGGACATAATGTCAATAGCAGATGACCAAACCAGAACAGAACACTCTACAGGACTGAGACTTTGGGCCAACTGAGAAATCTTTTTCTCCAAGGTATACCCCTGCCTGGGCATAGCAATATCATCCTTCTTCAAAAACATTACTGGACATAAGTCATTCCCACCATCACCTACATATACAATTTGTGTATAACTTACTCCTCGCTCCAACTGTTTATCTAGAAATTCCTTTAAAACTTCCCTTTTGCAAAGGTTTTTAGGGCACTTTGCACAATGGTGAGCATGGAAGTCCTGTACAGTAAGATAGCCAGTACTGCTGAATGCTGCAGGGTTTGTAAACACTTCATCAAACACCTTATGGAAGTCAGCAGCTTTCAAAATCCAGTCAATAAATACTGTATTAGAATCTGAGACAATTATGCAGTCAAACAACTCCCTGTTCTCGCCAATAAAATGCAGAAGATCTACCATTCCCACAGTGAAAGGAATTGTTGTCATAGTTCTCTTCATCTCATCTTCTTTGACACCATTGTCTCCCAAGTAGACAAAGACTCTGCCCATATATTCTGTCCAGTGTCCTGGTCGGTAGGAGTTTCTTAATCCATCAGGAAGTTTTTTCTCAGGAGCACATTTCACAATCCAGGTATCACTGTTTTCATCTACGATTGTATGGTCAAAATCAAAAACCAACAGAAATTTCATAGCTGTCAGAAAATAGTTTCCAAAACAAACAAAAAAAGATAATTATTTATATAAACAAAAGTACTGAATTCCTACCCTGATCTTGTGCTCAGAAGAGAAAAATTCTGCAAGAAAATGAAGCATTAGGACAAATATCTAAACAAAGTAAACTATTTATGGCCACTACAGCTATGGGAAATTGTGCTGAAGCTAAAAAAGCAGTCTCTAAAGGTCAAACTTCTAGTTTGGTATCAAACTTGTTTAAAATAGATAATGTGAAAGTATTTAAACTCATGCTACATAGTTACTAATACTTGCTAACACAGAGTCAATCTTCCAGTACTCATGCACCATCAGTTTGACCAACAGTCCTAAATTTCTCCATCGTCACTTGCCAACACAACCAACCTGGGATTCTCCTGGCAAACCACCTGAAGAGATGTTTCAAAAGGAAACTACTACTGAACAGATGGAGCTAGTCTTTTTAACAAGGACACACCAAATCAAAGCAGCCAACGAAAAGAAATACTGCCATGCGTGGATCTGGGGGAAAAAAAAAAAAAGAAAAATTGGTCTGCTTGCTGTAGTCCTGCAACTTCAGCACCTACAGCCCACCTCTGGGCTAGGGAAGTCCCTGGGCGCAAGGAACACCACCTCTGGTACTTCATGCCGTTCCCTCGCAGACAAACCCTCTCGCCCCCGTAACTCAAGCACCGCCGCCCC